CCCCAAAACCCCAAAACCCCGTAAAATGATATTTGAATTAAATGTTTGTCTGGTTGTAAAGAAAATAATTATGAAATCAATAAATAATCTGAGTAAATCAAATCATGTTATAATTGGCTTCATTTTCAGTCGTGAATAATCTATCTTAGATCTATTTGACCATTTAAGACTCTTTGATTAAAGCCTTAAGGATCCCACGCAGGTCTAGACTCTGAATCTATCTCACTAGCGAATTGATTTCCTTCTGCTAACTAATGATCCTTTCCTCCAATGACTTCTTTGCATTCAGGACATCTACTCTCTTCCATTGCACCACCACATTCTCCAATTGCATAGAAATGACCATTTTTGCACTTGAACCATCTTCCTCCAGATATTCCTATTGCATCTCCTAATTATTTGACTAATTATTTAAAGTCTATTGACTGATCAATTTGTTCCGCAAGTTTCTTATAAGATTCAAATTCATTATCGTCAATAATGAATTTGTTCTTTTTGATAACTCTCAAGAATTCGTTGCATTACATCTACAAGGTGAGATTTTGACTTACCATTCCCCATCCTTGTTAAGACAAATATTTCTAGCAGGAAATAAATATCTGTATCAGTATTAGTTTTCGTTCTAAGTTCTGTAGTACTACAGGATTTTGCTTAAATTAGTTAAACATTGAGAACCATTAACTAAGTAAGGTTTAAATTTCTTGAATGAACTTATTGTCACACTCTAACTTTTTCTGATGAAATTGTTTGTATGTATCTTGCATTTACTCTACTTTCTTCTTCAAATTTTCTGTTTAACTTTCAACTTTCGATTTAAGAACATTTATGTCATTAAGTACCTAGTTTATTCTATTTTGATATCTTTAGGATTTTCTTATCAATTATTTGCATTTTGGACATTCTGGGAATTTAATAAAGGAAGATTAAGAATTATTATTCTACTCATTATTTTATTGTTTACTTTCTTCTTAATCATCACTTGATTCTTCTGTTTTATTTACCCATCTGTCTAATTATTATGACTCAAAAATGTGCCCGCAATCTATTTAAACAAATCTGGAATCGGGTTCATCTTCAAGCCCAAAAAATATTGTGAAAGTCTCATCATCTTTATTACAAATTCTGCATACTTAAGGACAAATATCTCCACATAAGCCAATGCAGTCATGCTCACATTTTAATTTTAAAGGACACGGTTCGTTGCAAATTTACCTATCACAAGGTTCGTGGCATTTTTTAGAGCATTTTGAGTGAATACATCCTATCTCGCAAGGCTCAATACACTATTTACATGGATAGTAGCACTTTTGCTGGCATTTAGAATGCGCACATTTGGTCTCGCATTTTGCTTCACAGGCTGAGCATTCTTTAGCACAATTATCCTTGCAAATATGCCCACAAAATAAAGTTCTATTACATTTTTAGTCGCAAAAACCATGGAAAAATTTCTTTTGGCATGTTCCACATTTTTCTGCGCAAGGATGTCCGCACTCTAGTATCTATCCACATTTAATGTAGCATCCATCTAAAGTAGTTATAATTGAAAGGAATATTACCATTTTACTCGAATTCTTTAGGACTGATAAAACATTTAATCTCTACTTCATGCTTGCATGTAGGTAAAATTTTGGAAACATTAACTCCACATTTGTCTAAAGAACAATCGTAGTAACACTTTTTCTAGCATCTGTGACCACAGTTCTTAACTTTTTAGCAATCATTTTAGCATTATAAATCTTTGCTTTTAAAGCATTCAACTTAGTTTACATGTCCACACTTCTATATTTTGACTTAAACTTTTACTTTGCAATCAGATAAAATATTCTTGCACTCAAAACATTTGTAATTGCATTCATGACCACATGGATTTACTCTTTAGCATGGCTTGAGACATTTATCATTATCATGGCCTGTTTTATTTATTTCATTTACTTCAAAATTATGGCATAACCTCTCGCATTTATGTCCACAGGGTAATCTTGAATCACAATTATCAAGGCATCCTCCTTCTGGAACATTTTAAAAATCACTTCCTTATTTAATTTCTGTATACTTTTTATGATTATTGCAGCACAATTTTAATTCATTACCATAAAAGTCATTTTCTTTGAGATATTTAAGAACTTTCTTCCAAAGATTATCTTACTCTTCAAGTTTTTAATTAAGGAGACAGAAAGAATTTCCGAAAATATAGAATCCATGCTTAGCTCTAGATAATGCCACGCATACTCTATTACTAACTTTAAGATATCCGATATTATTTTTAGAATTTGATCTTACAAGGGATAGAATAATTATATCATTTTCTTCTCCTTAAAAGTTATCTACAGTGATTATTTTTATGCGATTCAATGGATGTGTAATATCTAGATAGTTCTATCTTATCTATTTCTTAATGTAGAATGATTAGGCTTAGTAAAGTGATAAAATTGTTATTTGATTAGGCTGGTAATTCTACTAAATGAGGTAATTAGCATAATTGATAATCAGTTCAGCCTCAAACTTATTAAGCTTTGAGGATAATCCTTCATCTTCTTATTCAAGCTCTTCATGATGCATGAAAAAAACATTTTTATCCACTCCTTTAATGTTTGGATAATTCTTTACCTTGGGATCATCAGTAAGTTCTGGGTAGAGGAATCTAACCATGTTGGATATTTCAGGTCTCATCCTTCTTTAATTACTAAGAGTTGTATATTCGAATTTATTTTTCACTAGTCTTTCAAACATAGACATATCTAAATTGTAAGTTTTCTCAAGTTCGTAGACTGCTGGTGAAGGTCTAAGTTATTGATGATCACCAATCAAAATTAGATGTTCAGTTTTCTAACTTAAAGCTGTTAAAATGTGAGCTTCAAATACCTCAGCGGCTTCTTCTACGATTACTATTGGGAAATTTATATCTTTCATCATATCACTGTTCTTAGCACAACCTGTTGTAGTCATAGCAACTATGTCTGCTTATTTAAGAGCTTTGCATGTAACTATGCTTTGCAACTCCTATCTTCTCTGGAATTTTATTTTGTATTCTTCTATTAATTGATGAAGCTCCTAGAATTAAGAAATGTCTTAGTTGTCTGCATAATAGTTGTTCAGCTACCATCTTCTCTCCATTCTTAAGTTAAACAAAGGGTAATCTCTTTCAGCTAATTTGCCTGCTTTACCTATTTATTGTCCACTTTGAATACACTACATCATATTTCCTTATTTAAAAAAGAAATCTGATTGTGTCTGCTGTTTATAAAGCTAAGTTAGGTTGAAATATTTTTTTTCATAATATTAAGCATCACTTTTACTATAGTAAATATCCTTTTGATCTAATATTTCTTCATATTCCTTTTCTCTTTGATTTAAATCATCCAAATTGTAATACAAGTCCTGTTCAAACATTTGATGCTACTGTGAAAGTACAATTTAGGGTATCAAATCCTAAATGTATTTGTCTAAATCAATAAGACCAAGCCAAAATAAGACTGGTAGATCAGGTTCTACTAATAACGTCTCTGTGAAATGCTAAAGTGCCTTAGTATAATCTTTCTTTTAGTATCCTTCAAAAGCATATTCTAAACTTTATTTTAAAACTCTGTTAAATTCTCTTGTAATTTATAACAGTAAGTCATTTACACCTTATTATTTTGAAAGACAATTAACTAGTCCTAATTAATTAAGTTATAATTGATAGTTTCGATTGCTAATTTTATTGGTTAAGGATTCTATATCTTAGATGATTTAACTGTAAGACTTTGGGTAGGATATTTTTCTATCTTTAATGTATTGTTAAATAGAATGATTTTTTAGAGATTCATCTTGACTTCTGCCTCCGATTCTTACAAAATTCATTGTATATTTACTTATCAAATTCAGGAACTGATCTAGGGCATGATTTGTATAACAGACTATAAGTATTGGGCCTTTATTTTCTCTCCAGAACTTTTTGTTATCAATCAAAATTTTGACAAAATGTTCTCCGACATAGGTTTTACCTGTGCCAGGAGGTCCTTGAATAAGTGCAAGTTCCTTTTTTAAGCAAGCATTCATTGCTTTTGCCTAGTTATTATCGAGTTTTGCTGTATTTATTCCTTCAACTATCTTTTAATTAAACTATACCTATTAATACTCCTCTAATTCCTCATAGATGGCTGGAAGCCTTATAAAATCTTTGTTATGTCCCGTAAGATATTCCTCAAATGGAACATAGTCCCATTTATCCATTTATTTAATCTTCTTAAGTACATGATAATAAGACTCAAAATAGGCTGTAGACTCGATCATTTTCAATCGAGAATTTCTATGATTCAAAAAATATTGTAAAACTGGAGACTATTTGTTAGCATCCCATTTAAGATACTCAAGGTCAAAATCCTAAATGTCAAGATTTTATTAGTATGCAGCATCATCTCCTGTTATGAGTTAAATTTGAATATC